TTTTTCTCATCTAAACAGAGAGAACTTCAGACATATAAACACGTACATAGTAACTGCATACTTGGTTTTCTGTGCTTTGTTGTGTTTCCAAAAATCACTTCCGAAAGTACAGGGAAGCCAATTCTGACAACGCAGACAACAAGATACTGACTGGGAAACCTTCTATCTTTCAGTACTATTCCCAGTTCTACTCAAGGGCATCATGTCACTCTCATAACCAACAACCAACCACCACCACCACACAAGCCACTGATCATAAAGAATATCTGCGTGACAATCAGAGTATAGTAAAGTGGGAGAAACTGCAGATCTTTTAACATATAGCTCAGTTTAGTATAATTGCTAAATTCAGGCTAAGCATTTCCCGCTGAGGTTAATTCACTGACAAAAACTGTGGGAGAACTATTATGTTATTAAAACTGAAAAGGTCTGCGCCGGCAGGTAAAAATACCTGATAATCTTTTTGCAAAAGGTTGAAAAATTAAGACAAAACTGCTTATATATCAGAATTGTGGCATACCTATTATTATTAAAAACAGTGCCCAGCTAGCGCTGCTTGTTATTCAGTTGTAAATCAGGCAGTACAACATGGATAAAAGAACAAAACAGCACTTGCATTTTGTTCTTCAGTGTTAATTTTCAGTTAACAAGTCTATGAAAATAGAAATCTGAAACCTGTAGGCACACTTTTGAAATATTCACCACCCAATAAACAATGCGTATTGCTAACGAAGTTTAGAAAGTAACCTTAACGTGTTCTCCTGGTTGGCCTGTTGCTCAATTCAGGCAAGTATCCTACAAACATTAGCATCAGGATTCCCAAATAACTCAGAGTAAAGTAACTAGCCTGAGCATGTAGAAGCTTCTATCTTCAATATCTTCAGCAAAACCAACAGCCAGTTGGGAGAAAAAAAAATAGTAGGTATGTGATAACTAAATAAATCACTAGCAAAATTTACAGTGCATTCTACTCAGTATCTTCTGATCAAGGGCACTGCTACCATTAAATCATTAATCAAAGTATTATTTATTGCTGTTCTTACACAAAAATCAAATCCACACACCACACCTCCTTGTCAAAAGCCAAAGAAGAAAAAAGCCCTAAGGTACTTTCTAGTGAAATGAAAAGCCTGCTTCTGAGATCCATGTCCTTCAATGAAAAGAAGTCACTGATCAAGGGAAAGCAAATCTTTCTTTGAGGTGTCGGGAGGACCAAAATCAAGAACTTTCCTAATGTATTAGCATACAACGAAGAGAGAACTATGGTTTGTGAAATCAGCACTGTCAGTCTGCCATAGATCTGAACTAATACTTACAAATTTCCACCAATCCACACAAAAATCACCATAATTCAGAGAGCAGTGATAAATAACACAAACTTGTCCTCCCTTCCTCTCTTACCTCTCCCACACAGGCTGTCAAAACAAGCCTGCTGTATTCAAATGGTAAACCTCAATTAAAGTGACAAATTCAAAGCGACAAACCTGGTAGGAAGTCCTACTCTAAGAGACATGGTCATAATTTACCAAACAAGTAACATAAATAAATAAATAGATAAATGAAATATGCCAACCACAAAAGATGAGAACTATTCAACGAGTCAAACAATACATTTTCAAGGTTTTATTTTCTCTCACCATATTGGCACTAACTCAACAAAAGAGTACTGCCACTCCAATTAGGATCTGACAAGCCAAGTCTGTGCAGTAATAACACTCTCTTATTCTCATACAGTCAAAATTTAACTTCCTTTTTTAAGTCACCTTGTAGAAAGTCAGCTTTGGGCTTCATTTCCTTACTATGGCTGTTCACTACTGGGCAATGCTACGATCACTTCTACTAGGATTTAGTTAAACATGGACGAAGAGTACTTGCAGTTTACTACTATGCCGTTTCTTTACAATACCTGCTATTACATATCATAACTGTAGTCCTTCTCATTTTAGAAAGGCTTCCAAATTTTTCAGTTGTTTTGATTTTATTGTTGGCTTCTTGGTTTTAAAGGGACATGGAGCAGGCTAGGAAAACCCAGGTAATGAGTAAGTGGCTGAGAGGCTGGTGCCACCACAGGAACTTTGGGTTTTTTGACCACAGGACAATTTACTCAGCACTGGTCTAATGGCTGCAGGCAGGCATCACTCGTCTCTAAGAGAGAAATGGATCCTAGCTCTAAGAGCTAATAGAGCACATTGAGAAGGCTTTAAACAAGACAGGAAGGGGAAAAGGGATACAATGAGGCTCACTAGAGTTGAGAGAGTAGTCCAGGGCTTTATACAAGGCTTCCAACAGGGGAAGAGAGTCGAGCAGGACACAGGAAGGCTTGGGTTACTGTCACACCAGGAGATTATGGGGAAAAACCTCTGAACTGTCCTGTGGGATCTTGCAGAGACTCCTCAGAGGAAGCAATGTTGCCAACCCCCCATCTGAAATCTTCTCTTGCTCCTCTAGGAAGCAGCGGCGGAAATCTCAGATTCCTCCCATAAGTTTGAGGGAAGGCCCTCTAGAAAGGTGGCATGTCAGAAAGCCCAGCTGAAGTGTCTTTACACTAATGCATGCAGCATGGGAAATAAGCAGGATGAGTTTGAAACCATGATGTGCTTGGAAAATTACAATCCGGTTGCTACCATGGAAGCATGGTGTGACTACTCCCTTAACTGGAATACCACTGTAGAGGGTATGCCTTTTTAGAGGAGTATTGCCTTTTTAGAAAGGATAGGCGAGGTAAGAAAGGTGGGGGAGTTGCCCTCTGTGTTAAACAGGGGATAGAATGTGAGGAGCTCTCTGTGAAAAATGGTGAGGAGCAGACGGAGAGTCTGTGGGTCAGAATTACGGAGAGGACTAACGTAGGGATAGGACTGATCAAGGTGAGCCTGCTGACAAGGCCTTCTTCTTTCAGCGGCAGGAGGGATCCCACTCCCAGGTACTTGTCCTGATGGGGAGATTTAAACCATCCAGATATCTACTGGATAAATTCAGGAAATTACTGGAGTCCATGGATGATAACTTTCTGGTTCAAGTACTGGATAGACTGACCAGAGGTGAAGTGCTGCTGGATCTAGTACTCACTAATGCAGAGGAGATCATTGAAGGCAATAAAGATTGGAGGCAGCCTAGGCTACAGCCACTATGTCCTCGTTGAGTTTGTGATCTCAAGAAACATGGGCCTGGCAAAGAGTGGGGCCAGGACCCTGAACTTTGGGAGAGCGAACTTTAGACTGCTGAAGGAATTGCTGGATGAGATCTCCTGGGAAGCTGTCCTTAGAGACAAAGGAGACGAAGAACGCTGGCCACTCTTTACAGATGCCTTTTTGAGAGCACTCTCCCCCTCTGAATAAGAAAGCAGGCAAGGGAAGCAGAAAACTAGTAGGGCTTGGCAAAGATCTGCTAGTCAGGCTGAGGGAAAAAAAGGGGTTGTACTGACTATGGGAACAAGGGCATGCCACCTGGGGAGAACACAGGATGCTTTCCAGACTTGCAGAGAGAGGATTAGGAAAGCCAAGGGGAAGATGGAAGTGAACTTGGCTAGGGATGTTAAAAACAACAAGAAAGAGTTCTATAGGTACATAGGGCAGTAGAAGCAGAGAGCCTTCGGTACCTCCTTCGGTAAATGAGAAAGAAGAACTGGCTACGACAGATACAGAGAAGGTTGAGGTACTAAATGAGTTTTTTGCCTTGGTCCTCACTAGTAGCCAGGATTCTCATATATGTCTCATGTCCCTGAAGCTCACATCCCTGAGCCTCCAGGTTGGAACTAGGGGAGTAAATCCCCCTTGCTGTAAGGGCAGAGCAAATCTGAGACTGCCTCATGAGACTGAATGTGTACAAGTTTATGGGTCTGGATGACATGCATCGTCCCAGAGTCCTAAAGCAGCTGATTGATGTGGGGGCTGAGCAGCTCTCCATTGTATTTGAAAAGTCACAGCTGTTGGGTGAAGTTCCCCGGCCCCCCCCCCCCCAAAAAAAAAAAGGTAACATCATTCCCATTTGCAAGTAAGGAGGATCCAGATAACTACAAGCTGGGGAGCCTCACCACGGGTGATCTGAGACAGCCAGCATGGCTTTACCAATGGAAACTCGTGCCTGACCAGTCTGGTGACCGGGAAGGCAACCGATATCATCTACCTGGACTTGTGCAAAGCACTTTACATGGTCCCCCACCACATCCTTATCTCCAAATTGGAGAGATAAGAGATCTGAGGGGTGGACTATTCAGTGGATAAGGAATAGGTTGGAAGGCCGTAGACAGAGGGTTGTGGTGAATGGCACTGTGTCCAGATGGAAGCCAGTGATAAGTGGTGTCTCCCAGGGTGTCTTGGGAGCAATGCTCTTCAACATCTCCATCAACTACATTGACAATGGTCTCAAGTGCACCCTAAGCAATTCTGCCAGTGATACCAAGCTGAGTGGTGCAGCTGACATGTTAGAAGGAAGGGATGCCATCCAGAGGGACCTCAGCAAGCTCAAACGGTGGGCCTGTGTAAACCTAATGAGGTTCAACATAGCAAAGTGCAAGGTTTTGCACTTGGGTCAGAGTAATCCCAGATACATATACAGACTAGGAGAAGGAACTCTTTGAGAGCAGCCTTGGGGAGATGGACCCAGGGGTCCTGGTGGATGAAAAACTGAACGTGAGCCAGCAGTGTGCTCTTGCATCTCAGAAGGCCAACAGTATCCTGGGCTCCATCAAACAAGGGGTGGCTGGCTTTAAGTATACTCGTAAAACAAAACAAGACCCAAATCCCATTAACTTGTTTAGATAAGAAAAACTTTAAGCAAGTCTGCTACTGCCCTCTTCCAGCCTCTAATCAATAAAAGCTTGCAAAAGTCATAGATGTAAAATAATTAGGCTACAAATCAACTTCTGCTCCCTTTTCATAACAATCATTTGAAGAGTGAGATGATAACAAACTCACAGTTTCAGAGTTATTCTAGAACAGGAACACATTTATAAGTATTTTAATCTTCAACCAAACAACAAAAAAATAGTAGCAGAATCTTACCTTGATCAAATGGTTTACCCGGACTCCATGTGCGAAAATAATCATCCTGGAGAGGGAGAAACAACCTACATTTAGTAAGATACAATAAATCAGCATGTACATCCAAAAGTCATTTGATCGTAGAAGACAAGATATATACCAACCTCTACTTCCTAGAAAAGGCAAGCAGTGAAAAACAAATGAGAAAAAGATTACAGTCATCATAATGGGACAAATTACACACATAGAATAAAACAGTGTTTTTCAGAGGTCATTTGCACTCATCAAGTAAAAAGGCTACACAAGCAATATTACTTGCTAACACTGAGAATAGTTATTTCTCAAAGCACTTATATATGTTTCTAGTTCTGCTTATAAATTATTACAGTAGCTTTATTGTACTCTGAGATATTGAATATCTTAATTACATCTTCCATGATTAATTTTTCAAACCTAAAGCATCAACGTCACTATTAATTCAATACAATGACATTCTAAACAATCCTAAATGAATTTGAGAAAGAAATTGTTTTAAAGTTTTCGACTGTAAAATCTGCCATTAAATAATTCTAATTAACTTGATTTCCTACAAATCGTTTTCCTAAACATCAAACATCCTTCTAATTACGTGAGACTGTACTCATTTGAATTTATGAATAAATTTGAGTTCACTAACTACAGTGAATCGCTTAAGTGTTTTATCCAGGAGTTTTATCCAACTGGCTGAAAGATCACCAAGAAACCTCAATTTAGAAAAATTGGAAGCACTGAGATAATGTGAGCTCACACAGTTGTCGAAACCACATAATCACAGCCAAAAGAATGATCAAACAGCAAGCACATTCACAAGAACAAAAAGCTCTTTGGTTTTTAGTAGGACAATAATTTTACTTCAAAGAGGGAAAAAAAGTGGTTGCATCCTGAGCTGTCTTTCACTGATTATGTTTTATTAGTAAAAACTGTTTTTATGGAACGCCTCCTTTGAAACGCAAAGAGACAAATGAGCAGCATCTGGAAGTACCGAGTAGAATCAAAGATATGAGTGCATTCTTTTACTCAATGCTGCATAGATGAACAATTATAACTGACTTTTTAATTACTATGTAAATAAATACTGCAAATAAAATGAGTTTAAAACACTGGAAGAGATGAGGAGAAATCACAATTATGACAGTGTTTTCCACTTTTATTCATCCTAGCAGTAAACTACAGAGGTAGTTTGAACAGCTTTGAGGCATCTCTTCCATGAATCAGATCGTATTGGTAAAGCTTCCAATCCTTGCAAAAAGAATTTGTGAATGTCTTTACTGGCTACTGTTCTATTTTTTTTTTTCACTTAATTTAAAATACATACATTACATTCAATTGCATTATACAGGAATATCGGGTAGGAACAGAAAATCTTCAATTTTCTGTTACCTTCCTTCTGCGTTTTTCCAAAGCATCTAATAATTATTTTCACTTTCTCATTTATTCTCTGGTGCTCACATTTTTCTCAAAATGGCCACACGTAGTCCCTTCTCTGTTGCATCAAACATATTGGGATTTTCTACAAAGAAAAGGTTTTCTTCCTACAATTGTTATGTTACATACAATCTAGCCGAATACTGAAGTAATAAAAAGAGAGACATTTTTATTTTGTGTATCTTAAAGAAAGAAGTTAGGATGGAAATGCCATTGAAACAGTAAAATACATCATTTTGATCATCTTTTCTTCATAAACTTTATTTAGACTGAAGAGTGCTATTGTAAGATTTATTCAGAAAGAGCTGGATCCTCCATCCATTTCTGCTAAAGCAGTAACGTTTGCCCAAAATTAACCTATTCAGATATTCCTTGCAATTAGAAAGCTGAAAAGTTATAAGTAGAACATAAGACTAAAAGGACAGAGGTTCCACCCATGATTTGGAACACACTCAGATCATTTTACTAGCCTTTTTACTAGCCTTCATTTTGTATTGGAAAAGACAATAAATCAATTCTTGTTAACCTTCTTCATACCACAGGCAAATTCACAAATCCCAAACATAATCTCAGATATTTCTAGAATCACAGAATCACAGAATCACCCGGGTTGGAAGGGACCCCAAGGATCATGTAGTTCCAACCCCCCTGCCTAGCAGGGCCACCAAACATACACATTCAGATCAGGTTGCCCAGGACCCCGTCCAACCTGGCCTTGAACACGTCCAAGGACGGGGCATCCACAACCTCCCTGGGCAGCCCGTTCCAGGGCCTAACCACTCTCCTAGTAAAGAACTTCCCCCTAACATCCAACCTAAATCTTCCCTCCTTCAACTTAAAACCATTTCCCCTAGTCCTGCTGTTATCAGCCCTTTTGAAGAGTTTACTCCCCTCCTGGGTGTAGGTTCCCTTCAGGTATTGATAGGCTGCAATGAGGTCGCCCCATAGCCTTCTCTTCTCCAGGCTGAACAAGCCCAACTCCCTCAGCCTGTCCTCATAGGGGAGGTGCTCCAGCCCCCTGATCATCTTAGTCGCCCTCCTCTGGACCCTTTCCAAAATCTTAATGTCTTTCTTGTACTGAGGGCTCCACACCTGGACACAGTACTCCAGATGGGGCATCACTAGAGCCGAGTAGAGAGGGACAATCACCTCCCTGTCCCTGCTGACCACCCCTCTCCTGATGGAGCCCAGGATCCCATTTGCCTTTCGAGCTGCCAGAGCGCACTGCTGGCTCATATTCAGTCTCTCGTCCATCAGGACCCCCAGGTCCTTCTCTGCCGAGCTGCTCTCAAGGACCGCTCCTCCCAGCCTGTACAGGTGCCTGGGGTTCTTCCGGCCCAAATGCAAAACCTTGCACTTTGCCGTGTTGAACCTCATCAGGTTCACCCGAGCCCAGCCCTCCAGCCTGCCGAGGTCCCTCTGAATGGCATCCCTTCCTTCCACCGTATCAACCGCACCACTCAGCTTGGTGTCGTCAGCAAACTTGCTGAGGGTGCACTCAATTCCCTCATCGATGTCATTAATAAAGATGTTAAAGAGCACCGGTCCCAAGACAGACCCTTGGGGGACACCACTTGTTACCGGCCTCCACCTGGACATAGAGCCATTGACCACCACCCTCTGTCTGCAGCCTTTCAACCAATTGCTTATCCATCGGGTCGTTCACCCATCAAATCCACTTCCCTCCAATTTGGAGATGAGGATGTGATGGGGGACCATGTCAAAGGCCTTGCTCAGGTCCAGGTAAATGACATCGGTCGCCTTCCCTTTGTCCACCAATGCCGTCACTCCATCATAGAAGGCCACAAGATTAGTTAGGCATGACCTTCCTTTGGTGAAGCCGTGCTGGCTGTCTCGGATCACATGCTCATTCTTTATGTGATCGACGATGGGAGTGACGTGACCCTTCTTCCAGTCATCCGGGACCTCACCTGACAGCCACGACTTCTCAAATATGATGGAGAGCGGCTCGGCAACCACCTCAGCCAGCTCCTTCAGGACCCTGGGATGCACGCCATCCGGCCCCATAGACTTGTATCCATTCAGTCTAAGGAGGCGCTCTCGGACTTGCTCTGCCCTTACAGTGGGGAGGGATTTACCTCCTTGGTCCCCACGTAGAGGTTTGGGAATGCAGGGCTCAGGGACGTGAAAAAGACTAGAATCCTGGCCACCAGTGAAGACCGAGGTGAAGAACTCATTCAGCACCTCAGCTTTCTCTTCATCTGTTGAAGCCAGTTCTCCTTTTAAATTTACCAAAGTAGGTACGCCTGTTTTGGCCTTTCTCTTCTGGCCAATGTACCTGTAGACGGTTTTTAGTTTTAGAATCAAGAGACCATCTGACACATTTCTGTTTATAAAAGCATTCTATACCATTCCTGTTATCCCACTTTCCCTACTTTTTCCCCCCCGACTTTTTCCATTACTCCTGCTGCTACAGGATTTTCAGCAACAATAAAATAAAAAAAGTGAAGTGTAATGAAGAAAACTTGACAAATCCAATATGTGTATCCAAGCACTTCTTTATTGTACAAGTGAATTAAGCATGTCATTCAAGTGTGTCACTCTGCCCTGTATCAACCGACAGAACTCAAGCCTTCAGAAAAATGGCTTCTACTTGAGAATTTGAGGTCTTACTTAATACATCACATTAAATGTCAACACAAATCTATTTCGATATACTACACAAAAATATCACATACCTCCACTGATTTTCCTGAAGACTTAAAATTTTCATATCACCCATTACTTGAAGTCCACTACTTTGTCTACTACAGTAAAACAAAACCTTCACACACCTCTATAAACAGGGAGAATAGTCAATTGACTCTCATTCTTGAGTAAGGCACTAGGTTCAACAACTTTCACAGTTTGATGCTTCTACAAATATTCCTAACGCTACTTAACCCACTAAAAAAGTGGTTTCCTGTTACATTCCAACCTTCCCTGACCTTCAGTAAATAAAACTTAGACTACTGAAATGTTCAATATAATTTTTAGGATATCATCAAAGGAATAATATGAATTTACAAATCATTTTTCATTATTGTAAGGTAAGATTAGTATTAAAAACTGAATGAACAAATACACAGTTAGCAGTGAAAGACAAATAGCATTACAGTATCTAGCCAATCCTTGAACCTTGAATAAACGCAAAAAAGAAACCTCTCTGGAAAGAATCTAACTTCTTATGTTCTTCAGGGACTTTCTTAGGTTTGTCCTGGGCACATTCAAGGCCCTAAAAGCACTGAAGCAACATGCAACGAAGTCACAAATTTGTCATAATATCCATAATGCTTTTCCAATGTTACCTACTTAAAGATAGCTAGGTATTTTAAATAGAAAATTCATCCTAAGTGCTCTTCTTAAAACTATACGAAATTAATTAAAGTCTCTATCTAAAGCATACACACTGCACTAATATTAGCTATGTATCATGGGGCTAATAGCCATGTCTAAAAATTATGCACTTTTAAGCATTATGCTAAGTCAGGGTCATAATGATAGAGCTACAACGTTTAAAGAAAAATATATGTATTGCTTGGATTTATCCTAGGTTTTCATACAAACTGGGAGAAAAAGCCCTTGAGAGCAGACCTGAGGAGA